ATTTCAAACTCGCCTGGGTCTTATTAACACCCCCAAAGGGACTGGAACCATGACAGTGCAGTAGTCAATTGTGAAAGCAGACACAGCTTTGCTTCACCAACGATCGCACCACAGAATGTGAAATGGGAAGATGCCTAACCTTCCTTGAATATCACGTCTGTCAAGTGACCCAAGAGAACTAGTGGCAATGGCGTAGTGATTAACATGTCGAGATAACACACTGCACCGCCATGATTCGAGTCCAGCTAGGGATGTTAATAAGACCTACTCGAGGTCGAAACTGCAGTCTAGCCTGGATGATAATAACTTTTAGAAAGCAGGGCTATGCAAAATACAATATAAACGTAAGGTTAACTCATATCACTGTGGGAAGCTTTAACTACCAGTCCCTTTATCACCTTAAACGAAGTAGGGCGAAATTTTTTAAAGTTTTACTCCATATCCATTTCCATGGGTAGCGCAGTGTCAATATAAATTAATTCAATAACAAAATATTAGGAAGTCTTTAGTGTTAGATTAAAAAAGGTGTAAATAAAATTCAATCATTAAATATACTAGACTTAAACTTTGAACTAAAGAACAATGTCAGGAGTGGACCTAGACATGTAAGAATTACTTTAAAAAATGGCTTCCCCTTCTGATAAGAAAACACTCTTAAACAAAATTAGAAGTCAAAAATTAAAAATATCCAGGCTGATGCACTCAAAATATGTAATATCTAACAATTGGCCAAGAGCTTGCCTCAGCATCCATATAGTTGTGGGTCCCAATTATTTCGTTGATTAGGTTAGGCGAGCCAGCGCAGCCATTGGTCATGTATCTAAATAGTTCCAATGTATATAATAAATAACTTTTCCGTAAGCTCTACAATGCTTCTTATATTCTTAACATATTCAGCCCTGTCTTCTGTATCAATGCCTTTTTGCTTCAGGGACATTTTCGCCAACATCAACTCCTCCTCTTTACTAATTAGTTGTGCTTTTAAAGACACGTTTTCTGATCGAAGCTTAGATATATTCTCACTGTCTAATTTTATTCTAGCAAAATACCGATATAGCCTAAAAATTTACTTCTCGGTTAGATGCGATAGCTCCCCTTTATCGTGTAGCAATTCATTTTGAAGCTTTTGTTTATCATCAGAAATTATGCTAATAGAAGACCTTAGTTGGCTTATTTGAATCTCATAAGAGTATTTTAAAGCTTTAAGCTCCTCTTCCAATGTCAAAAGAGATTTTGAAAATTCCTTAAAGCGATTAAAGCTTTTGTATTGGCGAACCGAGTTAATGCAGGAAATAAATTGTTCGTTTAATTTAGCATAATTTTCTGTACTTATCTGTATGGCCATACTGCTAGAGATGGCCAGGATGGCAGATAGTTGCAGGGCCCCAGTAGCGTACTGGTTACCGAAGGTATATCTAAATGCGCGCAAAAAGTTGTAAAATTATTTATACAAAAATGTATAATAATCGTGCTATTAGCACTTTATACTTCTTTTAATGGCAATTTTACTTCAAATATATTAGTCTTTGCTTGTTTTTTTGGACTGTGGCGCTCTTTTTGTCCTTGCCTGGCGTGATTTTGCCGTATTCATTTCCCAACTCCCTATCATGTCTAGATATCTTAATTTGATGAGTCGTTTACCTCTTGTAAGCCCATTTATTCGCTTATTAGCATTATAATAGGCGAGCGCCTTGCGACGTCCAGTTAATTTTATGTCTTCAGGACCAAAGGGTCATGTCATTGGAATCGACCTGGGCACAACCAATTCTTGCGTGGCTACTATGGAAGGGAAGACTCCTAAAGTTCTTGAAAATGCTGAGGGGGCTCGGACGACACCTTCTGTTGTGGCATTTACTTCAGATGGTGAGCGCCTAGTAGGCGCTCCAGCTAAGCGCCAAGCCGTCACCAATTCTGCGAATACTTTGTCCGCAACTAAGCGTCTTATAGGACGTAAATTTGCCGATTCTGAGGTTCAAAAGGATATTAAGAACAGTGCTTTCAAGGTTATAAAGGCGGCTAATGGTGATGCTTGGCTTGAGGCTCAGGGGAAGTCCTACTCTCCCAGCCAGATTGGGGCTTTTGTACTTATGAAAATGAAAGAGACCGCAGGTTTGCATACTTAAAATTAATTTGGATAGAGAATTATCTTGGTTCTAAGGTGAAAAATGCGGTTATAACTGTTCCTGCCTACTTTAACGATTCACAGCGTCAGGTACCTAAAATTTTTCCATATTTAAAATTCAGGCAACTAAAGATGCGGGTCAAATAGCTGGACTCGAGGTCCTCCGCGTAATCAATGAGCCGACGGCTGCTGCCCTAGCTTATGGCCTTGATCGTGTCGAGGACAAAACGTAAACTTTCTTTTTGCATAATCCCTCTAGGATTGCTGTCTACGATCTTGGTGGTGGCACATTTGATATATCAATCTTGGAAATCCAGAAGGGTGTTTTTGAGGTAAAATCAACGAATGGTGATACTTTCCTTGGCGGCGAGGATTTTGACAATGCTCTCCTCAAATATCTACTTGATGAATTCAAAAAAGATGTAAGGGTGCTTAACTAATTTTTTTTCAGCAAGGCTTGGATGTCACCAAAGATCCTATGGCCCTACAACGTGTCAAAGAAGCTGCAGAAAAAGCAAAAATCGAGTTGTCATCTTCACTTCAGACGGACATTAACCTTCCTTATTTAACCATGGACCACTCTGGTCCTAAGCACATGCATTTAAAGCTTACAAGATCAAAGTTTGAATCGTTGGTTGAATCTTTAGTTAAAAGAACTATTCAACCCTGCGAAAAAGCTCTTAAAGATGCAGATGTTAGACCATCTGATATAGGAGATGTTATCCTTGTAGGTGGAATGACAAGAATGCCTAAAGTCCAGGAATTAGTACAGAAAATCTTTTCAAAAGTTCCAAGTAAAAGCGTGAATCCCGACGAAGCTGTAGCTATGGGAGCTGCTATTCAAGTAAGGTATTTGTTTTCTAGATTGATTTATGCCAGGGTGGTGTTCTAGCTGGCGACGTAACTGATGTTCTTCTTCTTGACGTTACTCCTCTATCCTTGGGCATTGAAACCTTGGGCGGGGTGATGACTAAGTTGATTAATAGAAACACCACTATACCCACGAAGAAATCTCAGGTCTTCTCAACCGCAGCTGATGGTCAGACTCAGGTCGAGATCAAAGTTCATCAAGGAGAACGTGAGATGGCGACGGATAACAAGTTACTAGGCCGTTTTTCCTTGGTTAGTGCCATCAAATCATGTGTTCATTTCGCTTTTTGCCTTTAACATAACCCTGTTTATTCCAGATTGGCATACCCCCTGCCCCTAGAGGCATTCCTCAGATAGAAGTAACTTTCGACATAGATGCTAACGGAATAGTCAATGTTTCAGCCAAAGACAAGGGCACTGGTAAAGAACAGCAAATCGTCATCCAATCAAGTGGTGGCCTATCAAAAGACGATATTGAACGCATGGTCCGTAATGCTGAACAGTATGCAGAAGCGGATAAAATAAGACGAGATATGGTTGAGACCATTAATCAGGCAGAAGGAGTTGTACATGACACAGAGGCTAAGATCGAAGAATACAAGGACAGTCTCCCGGAAGATGAGGTAGTTTATTGCCATATTATTTCCTTCGGGTTTAATTGCTTATCTGTTTACTAATTTACTTTAGAGAACTAAGCTAAAGGAGAAAATTGATCTGCTTCGCTCAAAATTGGCCAACAAAGATAATGAAAATCTGGATAGTATCAAATCTACTACAAATGACTTGCAACAAGCTTCTTTAAAGCTTTTTGAGATCGCTTACAAAAAGGTTTGTCTCGTCGAAGAATTGCTTTTCAAAAAAAAAGTTTTTTTTAATTATCCACTTGCTTGATTTTCAGATGTCTGAACGACGAACTGGCACCGCCGAGTCCTCTAGTGATGAGCAAAAGAAGGAACAAGGCAACTAGTTTTATCTCTACCATCTTATATAATCAAATCCCTGCTCCAAAGCAGACAGACTTTGAGACCCTGCTACCGGTGGAATGAGTAATTTATGTAATAATAGCAATTACAGCAGGCCTTCTTGCATCATTTCATTTTTAAGTGAAATTGTTATTTTTGTTTGAATTTTTCGATCGTGTCCGCGGCAATTTTCCAATCCTTCGATTGAACAATTCTTTTACAGTTTTTTATCAGTTAGTCTGCCTAAAGTCATTTTTCTTTACATTAATGGGTCTTCGTTTCTTTTCTCATATTTTTCATGTGTGCTTCACCACTTAGTTTATCTTGGGCCTTCGTCACGAACAAGTCAGATTCGACTAATGGTGTCACGCTCAAAGCTGGATTGTTTTTTTCTTACCTCCGTTATTTAAACAATCATTTTCACCAGATCTGTAGCTGTCCATAACTCATCATTTCGGTCAAGAAGTGGTTTTATTGGCTATCCATAATTTGGCTTCAATGTAAGCAACCCAACAATGGTTGAAACTACTAGCTGCGTATTTTTGCTTATCATGCGTCCTTGCTCCTCCCTCTAGTTCTTCAGTGTGATCTAGGGATTTAGAAGAGAGACTAAACAGTGTTTCTTATTCTTGATAGAGTGAGTACGCTTCGAGAATATCGATAATTCTTGAATAGCGACAGTCACCTCGGCTCGAGGGCTGGAGGTGGATTTATCGAATAGTCCCCGTATGGTTTGCGTCGAGAATGAGTTTCGCTTTTATTATTATTCGTGAGTGGAGTAAGCGCTCGACAGTGCTGAAAGTACTGTCTACGCACCTAGTGCCCACGAGATACATGACGTTTCGGGCAACCCGGGTAGTCTGAATTACTTGGCGGGCCCATCTATTTACACAACGTGCACTACTTAATTTGCACAAGTAATCATCGAGTGAGGATTTGGTCCGTCTGGGCAGGTTAGATTTACTTAATGACTCACAATAGCCGCTTCCCACAATCTTGTGTGCGGGCTGTGCGGCGGGGTTGAATTTACATCATCGAAATAGGAATTCTGCGATGTTATGTATCGTCTTTCGTGTGCACCCTCGAGGATGTTCGACGCTGCCTCCAAGTTATGTTAAAGTCAGTAGTGTACTCTTGCTATCCTGTGAAAACTTATTTATGGTTGCTTTTGTCTACTTACGCGGCATTGGGTCACCTGATTCTTGCGAATTTTCTCTAGTAATTTTTATAAACGTTTTAATCGTGCATTGGCACGCTTTTCTGGGGTGTATTAATTCAAGTCTCTTAGCTGAACTGTCTCTTGCTAGGGTTGGATCTCCTGGGGGCATCCGGCTAATTCTGTCCTGGCTCTTATTCGATTGAAAGTCGTCCTCCAATCGCTGTTTCGGGCCCATTTTCCGTTACACCTATGGGTTCTCATTGCGCCTATGTCATCAGCGCCCCCAGCGGTACTTTTATACTACGTGTTAACCACTGCGTTACCTTTGCGAGTGCCCTTAGGGTGCAGAGCAGAGGTGAGTCACAGGAAATCTTGGCCTTTAACATATCACCATTATGTGTTTGTTACATTCGACTACATTACTAAGAATGCTGGCTCGACCTTGTTTTCGCAACTTGATGGAGTGTCAGACACCTGGAACGTACCTAGTCCCGTGTCTTCTGCTGTTATTTCCACAATTGGGACATTGACTTGGTACATTCGCAAACACTTCGCTGGCATAATCTATGAGAGGTGCCATCGTAAGAAGAGAATTACAACTTATCCAATTGACAAGTGAAGGCAGTTCCTTCGACAGTTTTCTGTTCAACCGTTCTGGCATTACGTCCTTTATTATAGTGCCACATCTCTTTCGTCCAACCACTGTTCATATAGCCCGTCCACCTATTAAAACAATTCTACGTTCTCGTTTTCTAACTTAGAGAATGTCGCTATAATTCGGTCTGGTGAAACGTAATCATCTCCGCCACCGGTACAAAATGCCATTTGCATGGCTCATGACCTACATTCTGCTCCAAATTTTTCCCTACCCTCTTGCCATTTGGCTGTTGTTAAAGATCAAGTTCACTAATATAAGATGTATTCACCCTATTTCCTTTAAGGTGATACTGGTAGTCGAATTTTCCTGTAATGGTGAGTAGAGCTAACGTTTCCATTCAATCTCACGGCCTTGCTTCCCCAAAAGTTTTTCTCAAA